AATCGTGTGACTTGTGATTTGGTTTCAGGCTATTTTTTGCCCAAAGCAGCCATGTAATGTACAATGCTGTGGTTCGTAAGATGTTTTTGTGGGACTTGAGTGACATGAGTGGTACAATGGAACCGCAACCCGAAGTGTGACAGCGCTCAAAGAAGAGAGCAATGACAGCTGCCAGGGATGCCTTGTGCAACCGACAGACAAGAAGTGAAGAACAGTGTTGAAAAGAAGCGAATACAAACCAAAAGCTATACATGAATGTAACTGAAGATATACCATACCCTGTTCCATTTGACAAGACGAAACCAGTCTTAGACGACAAGCACATTGTCGATGTTGCGTTAGCGAGCCATCCCATCCAGAGTTACTCGCTAGTTTCGATGCTGTCGCATCTATTGTGCCATGGTCCCGACGACGCCACCGACACAGTTACCCGTGGGCTTGCTGAGCTCGTACTCTCCATCACCGGGAATGACGTTGGTTCCCGGGTTTGGGAACTGGAGCTCGAAGGGATTACCAGGGGACTCGCAGTCGGCACCATCAGTATCAATCGACAGCAACATATCGGGTAGGTCCTTAAATGCGACAGATGCTGTTGCTCGGCGAATTGGGTTCTTCAGGCTTTCAGCAATTTCAAGATTGCGGCGATGCAGGGCGAGGACTTTGCGCTCAACGATATGACGTTTCTTAGATTTCGAAGGTGAGTCGCACTGACAAGAGCACTTTGAGGTCCACTCATTAGAAGGACACTCGCAGGTGCAACCCTCGAGCGTGTATTGCGTATTGCCAGTCGGCTGAGCGTTCGGGTTGCTAGTCTTCGTAGGAGCGGTGGGGGCAGTCGATGATGCCACAGGGTCCTGAGGCGTGTCATTGTTGCCATCGCCCGAGATCATCACGGAGGCACAGTTCATGTTGAACCTGGAAAAGAGTTAGCATGATTCCGAAAGGGGAGGGCCTGATCCACTCACTCTTTCTCCCTATTGATCCAGGTCCAAGCCAGCACCGCATTGCCGCTCGCGATATCGGCAGGGACTTCGAAGTCAAACACTTGCTGTGCGGGATCCTCGCCACCATTGCGAAGAGGGCAGTTGCCTTGCCAGGTTGCAGCAACCTTGAAGGTCTTGCCTTTGTCCGTACTGAAGCCCACTTGGCACGAGCCTCCGTAGTGGTTACCACCCTCTGGGTTCTCGATTGAAGTCTTGATGGCTGCACCGCTGAGTGTGAAGTTGGCCTTCTGACCTGGAGCCCAAGTGACGACAGGTTTGCCTTCATCGGTGTCTAAAAGATCAAGGTGACCTTTGCATGGTGCCGTGATCGCCTTGACCTCTGGTCCACAGCATCCGTAAGGGAAGTTGAGGTAAGGATCGGCGTCGCCTTGAGTGAATGGATTGTTGTCGCCTTTCAGAGTTGGTGGGAAATATAGATGCATATGGCCGAAGGCAACGTTGGCCATTGCGAGGACAGCTAGAGATTTTGTGTACATTGTGAAAGGATCGAAAAGGTTGTGTTTGGAGGGAGCGTTTGTAGGAACAGCAGGAACAATAAGGCGGTTTTTAACCTCGTCAATAAAGGAGTGACGGTCGAAAGCTATATTGTGCAGCAGCGGCGGTACATTCACAATGTGATGAAAGACGGAAATGGTATCCTCCAGGGAGTTTGATGCAACCATCCAAAGAAGGAAAAACGACCCTGCGTTCAGAACAGAAAATGTACAAAGGAGTGAATTCTGTCGGCCCTTCACGTAAAGAGAGTGAGCGTGATAGCCTCCATGGGTGGCGGCGTCCGAGGCTTATAACATGGCCCCCTCATGACCTACCGAGACAGTCATCTTCCTCCTCGTTTAGCTTACTTAGTGATAGGAAGGTCGGAGCCTCAGCCGTTGTGCAACTCAGGGCGGTGGATCTTGTTTCTACGCCCCTGACCTCGCCGCCCCCTTCATAACCAATCTCCGTACGGGGTCATGGTAGCAACCTAGGCATCTGCAGGATTGGAGTGAGCGGGAGTGTTTCGAAACAACGAATCGGGAGCATTTCTAGCCAGTCGACATGCCTTTCTTAGCGGGCGAGGTGTTTCGTTTGTCTTTGGCTGTCGAAGTTCTGAAGTGTTTCAGGCTAGCACAGAAGCGAGCTAGATCCGCGCTTCTGGAAGGCCAGCCAAGCGCGAGAAACTTCGAGGCTGCTCCACAAAGGCAAACTGGCTTTCGACAAGAAAATGGCCTGTTTGACGCTCGCGGTCCGGCTCTGTACCTGCATGCTTCTCCATATTTCTTGCGCTTGCCGGCGACTCCATCTCGTTATCGATTTCTGTATCGATACGCACGGGCGGTTCGCTTGTGCCGGAGACCCGTTCCCCACACTTTGATTCATCCTTCGTCCCTCACTTCATCAAAATCTTCTTTAAGTGTTGGTCCTCCTTCTTAAAGAGAGCTTCAGCGCCGCCTCGAAGCCAGGGTCTACCCGGTTTGACCTACTACCTTGAGGAAACTCCTTTCCTTCGCCCCTCAGCCCAAGCGCCCGTCATTCCAACACCCGCACGAGATGCGAGATGCCGTTTCCGTTAGGCTAATACCAGGACGCTGTGGCAATGCAACCCTGATTCACTTCTATTTCCTTGGGAGGAGAGAGGGGTTGTCAAGGACAGTACTCCCGTTCGCGTCCTCAAGAGGGGGCACAGTTTATCAAAGAGCACTTCGATCTTTAAGCACCACGAAGGTAGGACCTTACTGTGCTATCTGAAGCGCTTCTACCAAATAGACTCGAAGTATAATATTGGTACCCTGCATCCGCCTTTGTCCTAACACTCAATACCGGCGCAGCGGAATTCTTCCTTGAAGTCAGCTCACGTCGACGTGCATCGCCAAGCTGAGGCATTTCACATTACGCTAGTGTCTGTGACTGCTTGTGTTTTCTTCACAACCTATCCAGGTCCAATCCGTATCTAAAGGGCGCAAGTGGAACAGCAGGCGACGTATGTTAAGTAAGAAGCCCAGAATAGGTGCTGAAGTGCTGCTGAAGTATAATGTAAGTTGGAATGCAAACACGAAGGTAACGTGCACGAAGGCATACCGCAAGGTCCCATTATCAAAGCATCACACTTCTGTCTCTCGAGCAAATGCAAAGATCACTGGTCGTAAGTTGGAGCAAGAATATCAATCCTAAAAGCGCATTATTCGAGACTCCGTGCTGACTCGATCCTAAACGATCTTCCTGCCGTGCTATGTGCTTGAAGCCACTCTATCTCCAGATGTAGAGTCTTTCACAATTTCACCTTGCCTAAGCCCTGCTTCTATGGGGATCGATACCATGCAGTCGTTCTTCTCAAGGGGTCGAATCAGAGGAGGAAGCGAACACGTCTAAAGCAGGGATTATGAGGTCAACCCGTAGCGTCAAAGTATTAAGAATGGTTGAGTTATTGTCAAGGCGATATTTTCGTTGATCGTGAGTATCCTTGGCGTGGTATCGATCGAGTAGTCTACTTCGCTCCTCATGTAGTGCCTTCCATCCTTCCTGTGAAAGGCGATCCTGCTGTCCACACGTCGCTCCTCTTGGAGTGCTACTCAGCCAATTAGCAGTATTTAAATGGCGTTGCACGTCGACTATCGAACATACCCGTTTGAGCCAACTGAGTTTGCTTGTTGTCGATTATGAAATGATCTATTGCCTTGCCCGTTCATTTGCTCCGAGAGTATGCCAGTGCGTCGTGAAGTGATATTGCGGTAGCATAGATACTTCTATGCTATAAAACAATTATAGCTTTCCGTCTAGGCAAACGTGAAAGGGTTGTAATATCATTATTCCTCTCCAAGCACACTAGGAATCGACCACAAAGGACATTTGTGCTTGGTAACAGAAACTAGAAGCGGTTCAGCACACTATACGTCTACGGTTAGCACGACTAAGTGATTGCGTGATCCCCTGCTCTTAGTTACTTCTCTAATATATATCCGCGGAATATCGAAATTAAGTCCCACTCTCGAAATATCGTCGAGTAAGATTGACCTCCAGAAAGTATCTACAGCATGTTCAATTGCGGTAGTCGAAGGTTATTGGATGCTATTTGCAAGTAACATTGATTGGTAGGTCTACGCCTAGAGCTCAGATTGTGGTCAAGTCAGATGATACTATCGACGTGGTGCATTCAAGATTCATGTGCACAGCCAGAGTTTTGGCCTGGTCACCGCCTCAAGTATACTTAATAGGCTGCGAGATATACGCGAAGTGCTAGTAGCCGGAACTCTAGATCATAGATTGGGAGCACTTCAACGTTGAACAGCATCTCAATTTGGATATTACTTAGCTATGTATACTACTTCTGCATTGCCCACTCCAAAAGTGTGGTGTGTCTCGTTAACGTAAGTATGAACTACTCGCTCTCAGCATAACTACGATGGGTCTTCATCTTTTTTGCATTTTGGATCTGCTCACGATAGGTCACTATAGCGGGCATCAGCAACATCATGACTTAAAAGCCTTAACGTAAGACCTAGTCTGTTCTTTTGTCCATTTCTAAGCTCTTACTTCGAGCTCGAGTCGTACATACACAACTACCTAAAGCGCTTTGAGATATTAAAGGTAGGTCATCAGGAGCTCTTATCCATTCCATATACTCCTTTATAGCCGTGGGCAACTTTAAATATACCTTTATGAATAGGTTTCGTTATCTATGCTAGTAACAATGTTATTACGATATGTATAGAGAAGACTTATCACTTGTTTTACTATACGGCTACTTTCAAATTTAGATTACAGCCTACTCAGCATACTCTTTGGCTAATAAAGCCACTATCAGTGCTGGCGTGGACTAGAAGATATATCAAGAATAAGTCGTCGCAATAAAAGTAAAAATAAAATCAAGAGAAAAATATTAAAGAAACCTTAGAGGGAGTATACAATGAGTTGCTAAAGAAAAGTGTTTCCTTGCTGGACTGCTGCCGTTTCCACTAACTTGGTAAGTTGGTAAACTGAAATTTTTTTTGCAAAAAAGATGAAGACCCATCGTAGTTATGCCAACTACTGGAATTGAACCAGTGATCTTCGCATTTGCTTGAGAGATACAAGTGCGACGCGTCTGGAATTGGTTAGTCCTTACGATCGAGTTTGACGGAAGAATTTCGTCAACTTACTACCACTGCGCCAAGCTGGCCGGTTGAGGCTTTTCCTACACTAAAGAGTAGAAGTGGTTTGATCGATGAATGGCAAATTTTTGGATTCTGACATACATGTACATGTACAAAAAAGGGCACACTAAAAGAGCGCGAGGGCCAATTGCACAGCGGCGACAGGCAAGGGCTACGGTGGGGCCACGTTGAGGTAAGCCATGGAAGTGAGGGGTATCTTGGAGCCTAAGGCATCCAAGGGAAGTGGTTTGATTGAATACAGTATCATACTATTGTGGCCCGCAAACCGGCACATCACGATCCAGCAAAGTGGGAAGTTCCAAGCGTGTATTGGGAAATTCAGTATATTGAACTAGTTTGGTGGCCAAACAATCAAGGGGAAATTCTTAATCAGGGTTTCTGGAGGAGCTATCTCAAAGTGAGGCCGGACAGCTCTGCCCTTTGTTTCCCATGGCCAAAATTTTGCCGCTTGAATCGGACAAAGCCGCCAGATTATGGCACCCTGAGCAGATACAAAGAAAGATGGGGTACTTGTGTCTCAGAGAGGATGGATGGTGTGTACTTGTCAGGTTAAGTACTGATCCTTCCATGTGAGCAGGGTCGCAAGCAAGACCGATTATTTCAAGCTTTACATCACAAACTGAAGTCTTCTGATCCTTAATGAACTATACAAGTTTTATCCTCAGCGTGACATGCATCGTTGCGAAAGGGATTTCCTCAACGCTTAAGTGAAATATTTCCCAACGCGCGTTAGCGTTCTTCCATTCGGTGCCAAGTGCTCGCCTAAACCTTCACTCGTGGCTACATGCGGCGGCCGACGTGCATCACCGTAAGGCAGCATTGAATTTCTCACATTCAGACTTTGACCTACCGCCCTTCCTCTCAAACAAAACCCACAACACCTTCTTCAACCCACTCAAGAACTCCCGGCCGGCGCTCAGATAACACGGCTTCAATCTCACAACCATGGCCGACGCCGGAGTGGACATCGCGCAGCTTACAGAGGACCAGCAGCTCGCTTTACAACAGTTCACAGCCGTCACAGATCAAGAAGTAAAGGATGCAGTGCCGTTGTTACGGCGGTGCGAATGGAACGTTCAGGTAAGCTTCGGCGTCTTCCTTATTTGTATCATTCTGAATCTAACGTAGTCGTAGATTGCGATAGCACGCTTCTTCGACGGAGAGCCCGCTGAGGATCCCATAGCAGCAGCCGCAACAGCGCCCGCACCACAAGATACCCGCCGGCAGGAGACGTTACTGAACGGCGTCTCATCGCCTCGCTCATCCACATCGTCGAATCGACGGAGACTAGACGCTGCGCCCCGCGTCGTACCGCAGCCCGAAGGTCAGGTCTCACAACAAGCTTCTCTCCTCTTCACCATCCTCTTCGCGCCCGTCAGCTTGATATTATCATTAGGATCTAGGGGATTTGGCTTCTTGGGGTGGCTGTTCCCGCCGTTGGCGCGGCTCTGGGGACGGTTGACGGCGAGCAATGTGACTAGGGCGGGCACACCACGGAGTAGGACCAGCGGACGGCGGCCTTTGAATCCTCGAGACAACGCGGCGCGCTTCATTCGGGAATTTGAGGAAGAGTACGGGAGCAACAACTTGCCGTTTTTCGAAGGAGCTTACTCAGGAGCTTTCGATATGGCAAAGAAAGAGCTGAAGTTCTTGCTGGTCATCCTGATTTCGCCCGAGCACGACGAGACGGCGTCTTGGATACGAGAGACCGTCCTCTCACAGGAAGTCGTTGACTTCATCCGCGACCCCCCAAACAACATCATCCTTTGGGCAGGAAACGTCCAAGACTCAGAATCCTACTCGGTCTCTACGTCGCTAAACTGCACCAAGTTCCCTTTCGCCGCCCTCATCGTCCACACCCCGCAAGTCTCCTCAACAGCAATGGGCGTAGCAGCCCGCATCCCCGGCCCCACGTCCCCGGCGCAATTCGTCTCAAAACTCCGTCAAGCCATACAAGCCCACAGCGAACCGCTAACGCGCGTCCGGGCCCAACGCGCCGAACAACAAGCCACACGCAGCATTCGTCAACAGCAAGACAGCGCGTACGAACGCTCCCTAGCACAAGACCGTGAGCGCGCACGCAAGAAGCGTGAAGAAGCTGAACGCAAAGCGAGGGAAGAGAAAGAGGCTTTGGAGCGCGAACAAGCAAAGGAGCGGTACGCGCAGAACCTCGTACAATGGCGCAAATGGCGCGCATCAAGCATCGCCGTCGAACCAGGAGTAGAGGACAAAGACATTGTACGGATAAGTCTACGCATGCCGTCTGCGGATCGAGTGGTGCGCAAATTCGCTGCAGACGCGCATATCGAGGAGCTCTACGCGTTCGTCGAATGCTACGATGTCTTACAAGCCAGTGACGCAAATGAGAAGGTCGCAGAGCCGCAGGGATTCGAGCACGAATATAAATTCCAACTTGTCTCGCCTATGCCGCGCGAAGTCTACGACTTGAAGGCCGGTGGTACGATCAAGGAGCGCATCGGTCGAAGCGGGAACTTGATCGTTGAGCGCACGGATCTAGGAGATGAAGAGGAGGAAGACGAGGAGTAGAAGACGAAGATGTCACGATTAAGCAGGCATGTACGCTATGCATTGGGCGGCGTTCTCGCAACACGATATGTACGTAAAGAGATGTATGATTGAATGCAAACGGGTAGCTGGTCCCTGGGTGTAGCTCGTAGCATCGCATTGGTGTTGGCGATCTTCGCCGAATCTGTAACATTTGTTTCTTACAGTGTCTTAAGGCATTCCGTTATGTGCCACAGCATACGTACTCCCCTAATCCCGTACAAGTCCTCCGACAAGCCAGAGAGCAGAGAGGGTAGGATTGTTCCTTTGCATAACTCTCCAGAAGTACTTCAAATCATGAGAAAAAAGCTTACCTGGAACCACACTTCGCTATGTAGACCGCTTTTGCCTTTCTAGTATGATTTGTGAACCGTGATACACGTCTGTACTGCCTAACGTGCACAATTCCCACCTCCCCGGCAACTAAATCCTCCTCTCAATTACCCTTCAACTCAACCTCAACCCTCTACATTTCTCTGCTCTTACCAGTCTCGACGTTGGCCGACGTCTCATGGATACAATTACCTACCGAATTCACCTCAAAGCTTCAAATTATCGTAGCGTCGAAACATTGCCTCGTTGGAGCATCTTGGTTACTACTACTACTACTACTACTACTACTACGCTCGCGATATACTCTGTATCATAGTCCCTACCGAGCTGATCTGGTAGGTACCATATACACATAGAATACTTAGCCTTACTTCTCTGCCACGAAAGCGTGTCCTTGCCTACCGGCTACGAATTTAACGCACCACTAGTCCGAAGTGCTGAGGAAGCACTCAAGGGAGGAAATTGATCGATCTTAGGTATGTAGAGCACCTCTGGAAGGATGCTACAAAGCACGTCTTATAATTCGTACAAGGCCATTCAATCACGACCAAGTTCACAGCATGTACGCAAGTCCCGGAGACTATGACCCAAACACCTTGATAAAGCTACACTACATACGCACGCAAAGAACAGAGTACACTCAAATCGCCGCTACGTATAGAGGACCATCTTGCCTCGCCAAGACAAGACAAGACGTCCCTAGCAAGCATGCGATAGATGCACTCACACTGTAAATGACGGGCCCCCTTCGACGCTCAAGTCTTCTTCCACCAGACCGTCCTCCCTAATGGTCCACCGCCCATGTCCTCCGAATGTAAAGTAAAGCACGATAAAGCAGCGCTGAATGACAAATATGGGGTCTTGCAATTTGATCCTGATACATTCCCCTGCCCAGCACCTGTGAATGTGTGCACTCCACCTAATGCGCGCTAGATAACGCACACAGAGTCGATCAGGCCATCGACAGTGCCGTGACCTGATCTAGAATGCGACTGCAGTGATGAACGCTGACCTGCAAATATGTCTTTCAACGCCGACAACTTGAAAGAGTGGCTGCTTAAAGCTTGAGTGGTGCATGCCATAATGTCCTGAGTTAGGACATTTAGGTCCTCATTGAGGGGTTTGGTCGAAGACAGTCGATGAGGAAGACTGAATGTAGCCATCATGGCTAATTCGTCAAAGATCAACCAGCCTGACCATTCGGAGAAGTGCGACCATACGAACTATGACCTCTCTCAAAGCCACTGTTCCAGGAGCTGCCCTTGCCAAAGAGCAGCGGGCTCATCAAACCCACATCGGTCGCATTCGTAGCCTGCGCATAGGTGTTATGGTTGTTCGCGTGCGTGCCATAAATAGCACCATATCCAGAAGTAGCCGGATTGCCCCATGCAGCGCCACTTCCCAATCCGCCAGAAACTGGTCGCTGGACAGGAGTTCCATTTGACATCGTCCAGTCAGAGCTGTTGTACGATGCAGATGAATCGCCTCGCAGATGCCCTGAGACTCGGTTGGCGTTCAATGGTGATCCGCGTGCTCCATTCGTGTTGTCCAACAAAGGAGACGATGGTCCAGGCGTGCCGTCGTAGTTACGGTTCCAGATTGAAGCGCCACTGTACTGTCCATCTGGGAGTGATGGTAGATTGGCGGGGCCTCGAATAGACGACGAAGAGGCGATTCTGTTCATTGGCGTAGCGAGCAACGGAGCTACAGGTGCAGGAGATCCCAGCGGCTTCTTGTAGTTCTGCACTGCGTTCACAAGGTCGCTGATTGACAACTGAGCCGGGGCAAAAGAGTTGTCAGCAAGCACCGTAGTATCATCGAACGTCTGCGCAGGGGGAGTTGGCGGGATGTTCTCGTCTTCCTCCACCAAAGGGTCCAAACCATCGTCAAATCCGACCAGATCGTCTACCATACGGTTCATAGCCGGATCCTTGGCTAGAGTTGTGGATGCAGATTCCGAAGGTGCGGCAATGCTGTACGACTTCTGATCTTCAGCGATTGGCGCTTCTTGGGGGAACAACGGGAAGTCCATCGGCTCAGCCGCCATCGCGGGAGACCCGTCTGGACGGTTGTTCGGGCTAGCGAGCAGTTCAGACGGTACACCAGC